CTGTCCAGGGAACACGTGACTACTATGAGTTCCACGCTCTAAGCACGCGTTTCCGGTGTTCAAAGCGGACTGATCGATAGTGCACCGCCACGGCCATTTCCATTAATGCAGTCTCCCCCTCCCCCCTGCCCCAGACTGGCGTCATGTCTGTTGACCTGCTACAGAGTCAAAATCAAATCGGTGTTTTCATCTTCCTTTTACCTCAAAGCACCGGCGGAGAGGCCTTTTTCTGTAGTCCCATGTACCAGTCCCTGCGTCAGAGCGTGTCAACCCGCTGCGCCTGCGAATTATCCGTTTTCGACGGGAATGACTTCAGCCAGTTAAATCTCTGTCTCCCGGCCCCCCGGTCCCCCACCCATCAAACACGCAACAGCAAAGGCAACAACTGCAGTAACCGCTCCGTCCTCGACAGTTCCTCCGAGTCCACCAGTTCCGGCCTATTACTGCGCGTCTCAAACAGTTACGAACAACTCCTATTGGCCCGGGGCAATTGGCTTGTACAGGTTGTCTATAAGACCGTTCCCAGCCTGCATCACCTGTTTCTCAGACTAGTGGGACAGTATTGTACAGAACTGGGCAGTTCAGGCTACAGACGTCCCATTGGAGGAGGTCCGACTATGCGGAGTCAGGGCTTTAAGTACACCGTGCTCGCGGCCATCACTCATAGTCGAATCGAGGAATTGCGTCACCAGCAGAGTGAGTACTCCTTCATGGACGACCTGACTTATGACAGTTTTGCGAAGAGCCAGCGAGAGACAGGAGGTCAGGAGGGTGGCGTCCTCATGCCTTCTGGAGGTCAGGGCAAACACCCGACTTGGGGTCAGAAAATACAGTCTCCCCCCTCCTCATCCCCCACCACTCTCCCCTCCTACACTTACCCGGCTTCATCTTGCTCTTCGAACTCCTCCTTCCCCCACACCACGCCCTCCTCCAGCTCCACCCACCTAAGAACTGAGACGCAGAACAGAGACAACGGAATGAACAGTCCCAGTGGTCTTTTTAGCGAATACTTTCGGTCATTGGCCCATAAGCAGGACGAATACCTGAATGCTCTGCGGCAACGATACAATGAATTTTTCTCTCCGCGGGAGACCAGGAGGGGAGACGATAAATTGCTGAGGGAGGCGGAATCGGAGAATAATCGCCTTGAACTCGACTCGGTGGTGGAGTTCAGTGAGTCTACGAATCTGGACAGTCTGACACTGCCCACATTCACCAGAAAGCCCCCGAATGCTCGACCGCGTCATCGGGATGTTTTCTCTCCGGCAGAGGACTGGCGGAGGTCCGGTGATGGACTTGAGACAGTTGCCTGATGCTTCAACTTGTTCAGCCTTTCTTTGCCTTGGTTAGATGCAGGTCTGAATTGTCTGTTTTGCTCTAGAAAGCCACACTCGGGAGGATTGTTAACTTGTCCAAATTTCTTTGGAATTACTTTGCGCGAAAATTAATTTTGCGATGTAATGTTATTGAAAAAATTTCTGGAAAAGGGATATCTCTTTTGTCGGGAAGCAATTCGAAGGTAATGTAGCCTTCCGGGCTTTCCGAACTAAATTCGGCAAATATACGGTTTGTCAGTGTACGTTAGTCCAAATTGGTGCGCATTTGCTCTGCTACCGTCAACCCTTGCTAAACGCATCGGCTATGTAGGTCGGAAAACGTCAGCTATTCATAGGCTTGTTTCGGGTTGTAGTCGTTTAGGTGGAATTCTGCGTCAACTATTTCCTCCCTGATCAGCAGTGGGTTGATGGATTTCTACTTGTAGTAAATAAAACAAACTGAATTGATCAAAGTGACTTGCGACTAATTTTTGCATCGAAATGTGCACGCAAAGACTTTGCACCGTGTGATTCACTGAAAAGTTTTGGTGTCAGTGGCTCTGTTATGAGAACCCACGAAGCGTACTTTTAAATTACCCACCCTGATAGATCATTTTAGGGAAAGCTAAATCCCTGCTGTTCTTTTCAGAATATAATTCACGGTTTTGCAATAAATTGGCGTTTCTTTTAGTGTTCTACGATCCGGTAATCTTTGCGAGGAAGTATTGTAAACCTGCGATGGAGTAGCCAAGTGCGACGACCTGTCACTCCGGAAATGCTTACCTACACTACCGGAGTTCACACGCAGGCAGTCAAATACTTCATGAGGAGCAACCCTCAGGAAGTCCTCAGGCTCCAGTTTTCTAAGGCTTCGTGAGGGATTATTCGTTCCTTCTATGAGTCACAACGTCATCCATCTTCGAGACCGGCGTAACCTAATATACACATGCCGCAGACGTGCTATCTCATGAAATGCCAACCGAAATTCTGAAAGGATTACATAAGTAGTGTTGTAATACTTATTGCCGTGCAGCACATCCTCAAAATATTTCAGTCATGCCGCAGTGTCAAGTTCTGAATGAGTTACTTTTCGGCCGTCTACGAGATTGCACTCTAAAAAGAATGATTGCTTAATTGGTACAAACCTTCCCAATTCCTTTGTGATGCCTTTATAAATAAATTATATTTTATAAAATGGACACAAAATATTTTCTCTTGCACTCATTTGGTAGAAGATTACGTCTCCTTCAAATGTTCTACTTGAACATAGAGCATCTTGCAGTTTTTAGAAACCCTCGATTTCCGAAGGTACTTTTGCTCCACCTGTCGTTACACTTGAATTCAGGGTTTACAAGCTACAGTAGGTGGGCTAACTCATGAAATGTCAACCGAAATTTCGAAATGTGTTCTCGTTTCGAAAAGATTAACTAAATCGGTCTGCAACATAATTCTATAATAATTCAGTTACCTCAGGATGCCAGCTTTCGAATAAACTTCCGTCCGGATGCATGCAAAAACTATACTCCGTAAAAAAGGACAACGTATGTAGCATGCATTTTCTCATTAACTTTCGATGCCCATAAAAATCCGATTATATTTCATGAAAAACATGCATAAAATATTCAGTCTCCCACTCATTCGGTAGCAAATTACGTCTTCTTCCAATTTTATAGTCAAAGGAAGGGTAATAATCGGTTGTAAAACTGGTCACCATGCAGCATAATTCTACAAGAATTCGGTTACCTCAGGGTGTCGGATTTCGAACGAACTTATTTCCGACTGCACACAAGAACTAAACTCTGAAAAAAATGACTAACTAAGTATCATGCAATTTTCACAATGATTTCCGATGCTCTTGAAAATACAATTATATTTCGTGGAAAACATGCATAAAACTATTCATTTTTCAATGGAAAATCACGTCTTCTTCCAATTTTAAACTCGAAGGAAGGGTACTATTCAGTTTTAAAGAAGTCTGTCATTGTGACAATTTTCAATATCGTGAAATGGCCGTTCATGAAACGTCCTGTATCTGCATTTACGGATGTAGCTTGTAAAGTTAACAATATCGCTCAAATCTACTGTTTACTTTTATGAACCCCATATGGTCTCCTCTTAATACCGCAGAGAAATGCATGGTTTTCCGTGCACGGAACATATACGGCTTGTAGTTTTGAAACCCTGAAAGCAAGTGTAACAGCAGGTCGGGTACAAAATTATTTAGGAATTAGAAAAGTTTTTTTAAACCGAGTTATACTTTTCTTTCGAGTATCATATCGGAAGAAGGCGTAATTTTCTACCGAATAAACAAAAGAATAAATATTTTATCCATGTTTCTCATGAAATATACTTGAATTTTCAAGGGCATCGGAAATAATTGAGAAAATTACATGTCATTTAAATAGTCATTTTTTGGAGAGTATAGTTCTTGTATGTAGTCGGAAATAAGTTCATTCGAAAGCCGGAATCCTGAGGTAACTGAAATATCACAGAATTATGTTGGAGGCCGACTAGGTTTTCAACCCTGCTTAATCAATATTTTCGGAACGAGAACGCATTTCGAAATTTCGGTTGACATTTTATAAGTTAGCCCACCTACTGCACGTACCTAATACAGACGAATATCGCAAACTTCGATAAGCTATTAAGAAGATGTCATATAGCACTCAAATAATTGTCCAGTGGATGGGAGCAAGGTTGTATGCTTTTTGAATAGCATTAATGAACGTGCTAATGCAATGCCGTATGAATATGTATTTCTGGGTTTGAAGAATTTTCATAATTAGGCTTTTTTTTCAAAACCGAACGAAGATATGGAGAGGACGCAATTTGCCGTCAAAGGAGTACATGAAAGAATATTTTTGTAATGCTTTCTAGAAACATAATTGAATTGATATGGGCTTCAAAAATTGAGGGGGAATTAATATGAGGTGTTACCGGCAAAGACATGGGGGGCGGAGTGACCATTTCTGGATTATTAGCCGTCTTCAGCCAGCCCATACCCTGCCCCAAGTGTGGAGCACTTGAGATTCGGACCCAGGATCTCTGGTCATAGAGTTTGGCACTTTACCACTGAGCCAGGGGTTTGTTGTTTTGTCGGTTCTGATTGGGAATATTAATTATGATGGATGGGCACTCACCCTTGTGCAGGCAGTTGCACAGTGACTAGTAGAAAGAGTAAGGAATGACCATTTCTGGCTTATTAGCCGTCATCCGTCAGTCATACCCAACCTGATCGATGAGCGTCTATCTGTCATAGTTGGTACTCCCGATCACAACCGATAGGACAACGGGTCCGCGGCTCAATGGCAGTGTCGACCTCCACAACCAAAGGTCCCGGGTTCGAATCTCAGGTGATCCACGCTTGGGGTTGGTTATGACTGGTTGACGACGACTAATAAGCCAGAAATGGCCATCCCAGTCTCTCTTGTCTTTGTCAGTACCACCTCATATGTCAAAGTGTTTTATCGTAATTTCTACATAGGTACTGCGTATAGATTCGAGGTCCAGATGTCTTATCGCGTTTATCATCCCCGAAAAAGATGAAGAGGGAGAAAGGGCGAGTTCATGGACCAAGTCGTACTTGTACTGCCGTTTCGGAATCTTTCTCGTTTCCATCTCGAAAGCAGTGCGTCCGATGCTCCTGCTGGACTTAAGTTGTCCAGCTTTGTCGCTTGCCTTGTATTATGGCCGTGCTTGATGCTGATTGGCTTTGACCTCTCCGAGGCTGATCGCTGGCCGGGCTCTCATGGCCTTTGTCTCCTTTGGGGCAAGGGTAATCAGTCGAGCCAATGAGAAGATGGCCAGACTGGTGCCCGAAAGTTGACCCTCGACTGGCACAATCAACCGAGCTATGGACCTGCATCCCGCCTACCAGGCGTTACGTACAAGGCTCGGGTCAGTTCGGATAGGACCACTAAGACAGGCGAGCACGCGGAACTAAGGGTCGACGCTAACCGAAAAGAAGGGAAGTGACGATCAGGGGTCAGGCGCCCAACGTCGAACACTGTCTCCCCGATGTGCCTGCGAGGCTGAAAGCGACTCACATGAACAGCAACGACTGATCGGTCTGCCGACTGACGTGGGGGAAGGCAACAGGCACGCTGACTTGGCTACGCAATCACCAAGGGGGAAAAAGGACCTGTGAGCCTAGCCAGCGGCCAGCCTCGGGGAGGTCAAAGCCAGTCAGCAGCAAATAGGCAGCTCAGAGTTCGTGCATCCGGCTCGGCTATAATATAAAGCAAGCAGCAAGGCTGGACAATTAACCATCAACAGGAGCTGCAGGCACATTACTCTACCGATAGAAACGAGAAAGTTTCCGAAACGGCAGCACAAATACGATTTGGTCCATGAACTAGCTCACTCTTCTTCTTCTTCTTCTTCTTCTTCTTCTTCTTCTTCTTCTTCTTCTTCTTCTTCTTCTTCTTCTTCTTCGTCCTCGTCTTCCTCAGGGGATGGTGAACGCGATAGGACATGTGGATCTCGAATCATCACGCATACTGATTTATATTTTGGACGCGCAGTCCTCCGTTCCACAGGCAGATGGGAGACCGCGAAGCTAGCGTAATCCACCTTCACTCGGCTGCGCCGGTGCCTGGAAGAGAACGTCCTGCCGAAACGCATCAGATAAGAACCTAAGGACCCATTGCCACCCGTCGAAACCTCAGCAGTTATCTACAAAATAAATTTCAATGAGGGCGACTGCAACTATGAGGGAGAAACCGGGCGTAAATTGTAGACTTGCATAGAAGAGCACAAATCGGCTACTCAGAGGTTAGACCAAAACTCTCAATTAGCAACACACGTTGGAGAAACTGGGCATACTCTCGATCTCCAGCGAGCTACCATCTTAGGCCTGGGCAAAACAAAAGCAGAACAACTAACTCTCGAGGCGTGGTTCTCTGATGCCCACTCCGTCAACAGGCATCTGGACCTTCCTGCAGCTTACAAAGTCCTACGTCATCACAATCGTGAGCTCAGGACCAAACAACCACACCGGACTTAAGAAGGCCATACGGAGACAGCCCGACGACGAGTTTACTCTGTGAAGAAGAGCAAGAACCGCCAGACCGACCACTCGACACTGGTTCAATCACCTCCCCCCGACGGAATGGTGACTCACAGATCACGTAGGCAAAAGGCCCGGCAACCATCGTCCGAGAGGCCGAGGCAGCGAGAGGAGAGAAAAAATCGATTAGCACGAGGCCGACCAACATGACACGCCACTTGAGATTTCTGGCGAATTAAGTGCATTTTACGCTTTGGCAATGGACAGCCGACCAAGCTCGTCGAGGCGTCAGCATCTAAATAAACATGTTGCGGTGAGCCTATCTTCTTCTTTAGATAGAAACCGCCTGTAAACATTGACCTATGCCAATAAACGATGACAGATTTCAGTAAGAGGACGATAAGAGTGCTGATAGGGGACTGCTACGTTCGCATTGGCAAATACTGCCAAAAAATGTAACAGCATTAATCAACTTGACAATTGATCTTTTCGACACATGAGCAGGGAACCCTTGAAGCGGTAATCCTTGACAGTGCACGGCGTCACCGCAAGTTACGTGATGGCCAGTTATCCAGTAGATTAGAGAAAATAAGTCCACAAAGACAGTCTTCCGCCGATGGGGTCCCGCTTCACGACCTTTACTTCCGTCATCTCACTCAACACCTACTAACAATTCTACCCTACGACGCAACCAAAAGGCCATATTGCATCCTTCGAATCGGCACTCCAGAAATGTGAGGCAGGTAAGGAGTGTAAAAACGCTATGCAAAAACAAGTGTCGTCTTTACTCCTCCAGCACGAACGTCAGGCGATGATTTCTAAAACGGAAGACCAAGAACTTCTGAGGATACGAAAAATGAAGGATATTGTCACCCTGTTCTTCGACGAGGGGCACTCAAGGGTCGTCATGGATTAGAGTGAGTAAAGAGGAAAATTGGGCAATCTCTTGATGGACGAGGAATCTTATGTGCCATCGACTGGCAACGAGTGTAAAAAGCTCGTGAGCAGTATAAACAAGACGATCGCCAAGCTGCCGAAAGCGGCGCCACTAATATCGCGATGGCGCGCTTCAACGGCCTGTCAAATATTCACAAGCCAGGAGTGCCCCTACGCCCAATCGCCTCCTTACGCGACACCCCAACCTTTGGACTGCCGAAGTGGCTATACCAACGACTTTGCTTCCTAACCAAGGATTCGGAGTGGACAGTAAAGTCGGCTGAAGGGTATATGGCGTGCATTCAACATCTCGAAGTAGCGGCAGACGAGGTGATGGTGTCATTTGACGTGGTCTCTTTATTCGCCTATACCCCACCCGCATTGGCTATCGAAATTATTGACGGCTTTCCGGGGGAAAAATATGATGAGACCGACCAAAAACTCAAGCAAAGGGCATATCATCGAGCCCCTAGAACTGTCGCAAACCCCTCTCCACATTCAACGGCCAGGTCTACGAGCAAACAAAGGACACACCGATGGGCACACCTCTGTCTGGATTAATTGCTGAAGCGGTTTTACAGAGGCTCGAGCAGCTGATCTTCAGCAGATGCGTCGGCGACTCGATCGTTATAACTAACAGGAGCGAGGTGCAGGCCTTCAAGGCAGTGTCGAGTTCAATCTTTCCCGATATCCCATTTACCGTGGATGCTCTTCCTTGATGGACAATTTACGAAACTGGCTGACGGGAAGATAAGCATAACGGTCTACCGTGAGACAACTAACATTGGGCGCATTCTTCACTTTCGAAACAACCACCCTGTTGGCCTCATACGCCGCCATCGACCAGTTCCCTTCCCCCCCCCCCCGTCCGGAAACCAATTTCGACCTAGATCCCCCGCTTTCGCTTCCAGAAATCACCAATGTCGTGCAACAACTCTGTAGCGAGAAAACACCAGGCACCAATGCGACCCCAGTTGAAATCTGCCAACACGCCGGCCGCCGACTGACGGACCAACCATCGACGTTGTTTCAGGAGATGCGGCGCTGTGGGAAAGTTTATCGCAACAGGTTAGGCCCAGAGTGATACCCTGATTACCACGACCTTCAGGCTCGCTCCTGAACGGAAAGAGAAGGCGGATGCCAGTGGGGAGGATCGTATATTCCGTGCAGAATAGCCGGAGTAGTTGGAGGTAGTTGGCAGCTGGACGTGGGCACGTCCGACACCGGATGAGCGGCGTCCCACGTCTCCGAGGGAATGCGGCACGTCTCAAGCCAGGACACGTCTGACTGAGCCTTGAATCTGATTGGCCAGTCGGAGAGCCGAGTGGGCGAATGTCAGATAGCCTTGGTGCGCGCGTGCAGACACTCGCGAGAGATCCAGCGTTAAGACAGGCGCTCGGAGTAGAGTCACCACAAGTTCCCCAGGATCTCAAGTACGTCACCATCGTTCACCTGTATAACCGCAAGGAGGGCCGGCAACTCCGTGAAAATCACAGAGGCGTCTCGCTACTCAACATAGCCGAAACCGTCTTCTCCCGCATCCTCCCCAGTCACCTCAACGACCAACTAGAGCAAGGACTTCTGCCGGAAAGGCAATGCGGCTTCCGACGACACCATGCAGCCGCTGGCATGGCATTTTGAGCTCGCCACCTACAGGAGAAGTGACAGGAGATGCGAACACACGTCTGCACTACCTTCGTGGACTTGATGGAAGCCTCCAATACGGTGAATCGCGAGGGACTTTTGAAAAGCCTGCACAAATTGGGCAGCCCTTAGCGTCCCACTCACATAGTACGTCAGCTGCACGACGGGATGACGGCAGGCGTCACGGACAACGGCACCATCTCAAAGGCGTTCGCAGTGACCAATGGAGTGAAGCGGGACTGTGTATTCGCTCCTAACTTCTAAAATCTCATGTTCTCCGCCATGCTGGTGTACGTTTACCGTGATGTGCGCATCGGGATACACATAGTCTATGGAACTGATGGGCATTTTCTCAACAACAGGCGCATGCAGACCCCTACGCCACTATCTACGACTACCGTCCACGACATGCTCTCCACCGACGACTGCCCGCTCAAAGCCACGACCGAAGCAGACATGCAATGGAACATGGACTGGGTGTGCCAACTTCGGCTCGACTATCAAAACGGAGAAGACGGTGATCATGCACCAACCGTCGCTCAACACGCGACACTGAACTCCTCCTCCTATCAATGCCGACGGCAACCAACTTAAAACTGTGGCCAACTTCGCTTACCTCCTAGGAAGCACATTTTCCTTCAGCATAATAATCGATGACGAAGTGGTCCACCGGATCTCAAAAGCCAGCCAGTCCTTTAGCCGGGTGCGGAGCTCCGTGTGGAATTATCACTGCCTCCAACTGAATACTAAACTGAAGATGTACATGCTCGTCGTCCTGACGACACTTCTCTACGGGCGGAGACCAGGATCGTCTCCAAGGAACTCAACCACTTCCATATGAGCTGCCTTCGTAGAAAACTGAACATGAGATGGCAAGACAGGATTCGCGACACGGAAGTCCTAGGACGGATAGGAATCCTCAAAATTCATGCCACGCTAAGACAGCTACAATTACGTTGGATCAGCCATCGCGTGAGATTGGAAGATACGCGCCTACCAAAACAAATTTTCTACGATGTTTTGGCAGATTGTGACTAATCAATATTGACCCAACTGTGAAAAACTCGGCGCCTCGGTGGGATTCGAACCCACGCAGTAAGGAGAAGACTTTAGTACAGCCAACGCTCTAACCACCTGAGCTACGAGACTCCGCCGGGTGACGCGAGTTTAATCCCATTTGGGTCAGGTTTACCCGCCCAACCTACTGCAACGTCTGGAATCCATCAAATTTGATACAGTAAGTTGACTGTCCAAGCAGGATTTCCTAAGTAATTCGCCTAGGATTCACCAGATGACTACCAGGCTCACGTACTGCATGAATGTCTTGGCAGATTTTGATAAGTTCATAATGACCCCACTCGGAGCTCAGGCGGCTAGAGCCTCGGTTATACTAAAGCCTTCCCCTGACTGTCACGGGTTCGAATCCCACCGAAGAGCCGAGTTTTCACAGTTGGGTCAGTATGAATTAATCAAAATCTGCCAAGACATCTATGCATTACGTGAGCCTGGTAGTCATCTGGTGGATCCTGGGTGAATTACTTAGGAAATCTTGCCTGGACAGTCAAATTAATGCATCAGATTTGGTGGATTCCAGCAGTAGGTTGGCGGATAACTTGATCCAAATGTGATTAAACTCGCGTCGTCCGGCGGAGTCTCGTAGCTCAGGTGGTTAGAGCGTTGGCTGTACTAAAGCCCTCCCCTTACTGCGTGGGTTCGAATCCCACCGAGGCGCCGAGCTTTTCACAATTGAATCAAAATGAAATTTTCTATGATGATGCCGCCACGGGTACGCGTCGACAAAAAACGGCGCTACAAGGACGCTTTGAATAACTCTCTGAAACGACTGAAGATCAGCCCGCAGATCCAGGGGACCTCGCCCAGACCAGA